GGTGGAGCAGGCTTGGGGGGCCGGTACGTGGTCTTCAGCAGCCTGGTGGGCCTGGAGCCGGCCACACTGGCTCTCAGCCTTCCACGACTGCTGGTACAAGCCCTGCAGACCTTCCGCTTGACCGCTCAGGCAGAGGCAGAGCCCAAGGGAGCCCGGATGGGTATGAGACAGGACCAGCAGCTGGGGGAGAAGGGGCAAGACCCACCCCGCTCTTAAGTCCCTCCAGCCAGGCAGCCATGAGCCCTGTCCGGGCCTCCAACCCCTGGTCAGGACCTACCGCTCCCAGGGGCTGGAGGGTTCGGGGACATGATGACAAACTGTCACTGCCACAGTTGCTTGGGTATGTGGGGGCGGGGGGGGGAAGGGTCCTGGGCCCCATTTGTCTTCCCAGATGTGCCATCGGAAAATCACAGTTGCTGTAATAAACATTATTTATGACCTACGGAGAAAACTCTGGAGCTTTCTTGGGATGGGAGCCGGGTGGGTGGATAGTAGGTCCCTGGGAGTGGCGCCCACGTAGGGCCCGGCCTCCAGAAGCAGTTGGCAGAGGTCACAAAGACACTGGAGAGTGGCTGCTAAGCCCCCATCTGAACAGACCTGTCTGCCTCCCAAGAAATCGCAGCAGCTGACCTGCCTGTCACCACTCCCCTATCCATGGCTGACTAGTGCTGTCCCCAGTGTCCAGCGCCTCCCCCCAGCCCTCACCCCCACGGCTAACTGTGAGGGGTACTAGCCTGGAATCTTTGCCTCTTGTCCTTGGGCTCCTGCCCAGCTGGCCAGTCCCTGTCCCCACCCCCCTCATCACTTGCCCCCAGTTCTCTACCCTGCAGCGGAGCTTAGAGGTGTCAGATTGCATTTCCGGCCGCCTCTTCCCTTTGCCCTTCCACCCCCACTCTGCACCTGTTCCTTCTACCACCCACCCACATTCCCCAGCCCTGTGGACAAGAGGGGCAGATGCAACGCCTAGTCAAAGGGACAAGATGAAGGGGCCTGTGTTAACGCTGGGGCTGCTGGCTGCTCTGGTCATGTGTGGTAAGAGTGGGCATCGCCCCACCACGAAGGGTCCCTCAGGGTGCTCACCCAGGTCGCCCACTGCATGGCCCCCTCCTTCCCCTCCTCCATGGTACTAACCTCCCCCAGCCTCAGGCCCCCTCCCATCCTCATTGCCATTTCTCCCTGGAGGGCCCCACCACTGGGGCCCCGCAGCAGCCCCAAGGCCCAACGGGCCCTCAGGGGACCTTCCTCCCAGGGCCCCTGCCCAGGGCCCATCCCTGTCCCCGTTCTCGCCAGGCTGGGGCCTGAACGAGGAGGAGCGGCTGATCCGGCACCTGTTTGTGGAGAAGCACTACAACAAGGAGCTGCGGCCGGCAGCACGCAAGGAGGAGAGCGTGCAGATCTCGCTGGCCCTCACCCTCTCCAACCTCATCTCCCTGGTGAGCAGCCCCTCCGTGTCTGCGCTGGGGACTGGAGGGCAGGGACAGCTTCCTCAAGGCCTGGTTATCTCCCAGACAGGATGGCCATGGAGGAAGCTCAAGGCCCCAGGCCGGCCTAAGAAAGCGTGCCGTGGCCTCTCTCCATGCCCCGTGCTGCCCCCAGGCCTCGGGCTGATGTCCCTTCCCCTCCAGCTGCAGCTCTGGGGTGGCCCCTCGAATCACACTCATGACACACTTCAGAGGCCATGTGCCCTTCCTGCTCCCCGGTCCAGAGCGCTCCAGCCAGGAGTCTGGTTGGACCAATTGCCATGGTTTCCCCTGGGCGGCGGCTGGGAGGAGGTGCCCGGTGAATGCGGTGAATGCGCAGTGAAGGAGTGTGCTGTTTCGTTACAGAAAGAAGTCGAGGAGACCCTCACCACGAACGTGTGGATTGAGCACGTAAGAAAAACAGTCCACGCAGAGCCAGGGGGCGGAGGGCGCAGGGCTCAGGCTCCCCTGTGCCTGCTTCTGCTGGGGGATCCCCACCCTGCCTCAGACACCGCCCTCTGGGAGGGCCTGGCCCCTGCCCGCAGAGAAGCCACAGGCTCAGCTGCCCTTCCCCCTCCGAGGGCAGCCGCCAGTCCAGAGGAACCTTCGGGTGGACCAGCAGTCTCCATCTGCTGGAAAATCAGCACAGTATTCTGATTTTATTAGACGACACTCTCTGCCACGTGTCAGAAGTTCATAATACAGACAGATGTACAACCACAATGGAAATAGCGCACACTGAGCTGTGCAGTGCACATCCCACGCAACTGTACGCGACAGGCCTGAGTCCCCACTCTGTATCCGCCTCCCCCAAGCCTCTTTTGTCACAGCCCCGGACTCTGTCCAGTCTCCATTCGAGGAAGTGGGAAGAGTGAGTGAGCCAGGACAGCAGAGGAGCCAACTGCTGACATTCCTTTCTGCCTCCAGGGCTGGACAGACAGCCGGTTGCAGTGGGACGAGGAAGAATTTGGGAACATCAGCGTTCTGCGCCTGCCCCCTGACATGCTGTGGCTCCCAGAGATTGTGCTGGAAAACAAGTTGAGCGGCAGCCCTGCCCGGCCTCCCCTGTCACTCGGCCTCGCTTCCTCACGTGCCATGAGCCTCCCTCTCCAGACCCAGGCTTCTGACTGCCCTCCCTCCTCTGCCTCCCCCAGCCCTGCCATTCCCAAGCTGGCTGGTGCTCACTGTGGCCCTTGTCCCTGTCCCTCAGCAATGACGGCTCCTTCCAGATTTCCTACTCCTGCAACGTGCTGGTCAGTCCTTCAGGATCTCACCTACTTCCCCTTCGACTGGCAGAACTGCTCCCTCAAGTTCAGGTACACCCACTTATCCAGACACCCCTCCCTCCAGGGCACCCTGCCAGAGGCCAAGGCAGGTAGATGAAGCAGCCTCAGGCAGAGGCCCCCGCCCCGCTCTGTCCTGATTAGAGCTCCCCTCCCCTCTGACCGACCGTGAACTTCCTGTGCCAGCCTTTCTACTTCCCCTTCGACTGGCAGAACTGCTCCCTCAAGTTCAGGTACACCCACTTATCCAGACACCCCTCCCTCCAGGGCACCCTGCCAGAGGCCAAGGCAGGTAGATGAAGCAGCCTCAGGCAGAGGCCCCCGCCCCGCTCTGTCCTGATTAGAGCTCCCCTCCCCTCTGACCGACCGTGAACTTCCTGTGCCAGCCTTTTCCCATCAGTGGCCCCAGCCAGTGGCTGAGGACCCTCCTCTGTCCACTGCCCTCCCCAGTTCACTCAAGTACACGGCCAAGGAGATCACCCTGAGCCTGAAGCAGGACGAAGAAGACGGCCGCTCCTACCCCGTGGAGTGGGTCATCATCGACCCCGAGGGCTTCACAGGTGCAGGGAGCAGCAGCTGGCGGGTGGGCAGGCCCCTCACACTCTCCTCCACGGATACACTCACAGTCGCACTGACACCCCGAGGTGCACGTGTGCACACTCACACTTGCTGACACAAATCCCGCACGTTTAAAGGAAAAGAGGCCCAACTGGGGGGATTGTGTCCCAAAGGCAGAGACAGACAGGCACCCCATCGCCTGGCCCTGCCTCGGCCAGAAAACCCTCTGGGTCTAAACAGGGTCCCTGGGGATGGGGGTGCCTAACAGATGAGGGGGGTGGTTAGTCTTCCTGTCCCTGGAGAGCCCAGGGGTGTGGTTGGGGCTTCAATTGTCATCCCAATAGGGCGTATGTCACCCATTCCCAATGCCCCCACCCCCATCTGTGACCAGGTTCAGATCTTTTATGGGGCCCCTACCACTAGCCCTGTCTGTCAGAGAAGCCCCACGTCCTGCTTGTCCCAAGGCTGGTACATCATGGGTTGGGGGGGAGCTTACTCTCACTGCCTTCTTATGCCCAAGACTCCTTATTTTAACCATATATGGCCTCAGCTTCTATTTTTTCCAAGGAGGAAAAAAATTCAATCCCAGAGGAAAATTTCCCCCGCAGAGATTGACAGCTCCATCTCAAACCCTAGGGAAGGACCCACAAACAGAACCCGAACCCCTCACTACGTGCCCCCCAGGGCCCTGCAGACTGGCCTGCTCCCGTTGGGTGGTTGGCTCCACGAGCCCCTTGTATTACCCGGGGACCCCACCTTCGGGCCTCTTGCCGAGTCTGACCCCAAGGCGTCCATGTGCTGCCCTCAGAAAATGGGGAGTGGGAGATAGTGCACCGGCCCGCCAGGATCAACGTGGACACCAGCGTCCCCCTGGACAGTCCCGGCCGGCAGGACGTCACCTTCTACCTCATCATCCGCCGCAAGCCACTCTTCTACGTCATCAACATCCTGGTGCCCTGCGTGCTCATTTCCTTCATGATCAACCTGGTCTTCTACCT